ACCTCATCTGGTTTTGGAACTTGGGAACAGCTCAAGGCTCATTCCTGACTCTTAGACCTTAGGCTGTGTGGCCTGATTTATCTTTGCTCATCTGCCGTCTGTCACAGGCATGCAAAGACTCTGTGTGAGTGTGGTGGCAAAGACTCTGTGTGAGTGTGGTGGCGTTTGCGCTGAGCTTCCCAGCTCAAGCAAGTCTGGCCCCAGGGGATTTTCTGTGCTTTGGTGACTGTGGGACACAGCTGTGCTCCGTGGACTTGCCTGTCCCCCAGAGCCTTTGGCCAGAGAAAGAGAGGAGAGAGCTCCCGTGGGGTTTAGGCCTATCTAGGCCTCGGTGCTCTGAGCTGTGAGAAATGCCACAGCTGGGAGGCTGGGGAAGGGCTTCCTCCTTTGCAGTACCCCGCCATAGGAAGTGCGCCTGAGGTCTGTTGGGCTGTGGTACCTGGGGCAGTCATGTGTGTGTGTGTGGGGGGGGAGGAGGGCCCTCCCACCAGGCAGGGAGGGGCAAGCTGGTGCCAGTTCACAGCCCAGGCCCAGAGGCCCAACTGTGGCTGTTTTCAGGCAGGCTTTTCTTGTCACCAGCCCCTCTTTTCTCTCCCCTGCCCTGAATGGTCCCTTCTGGAGCCCTTCACTCCTATCTGGCCCAGTTGAGGATGTGCTGAGAGGAACGGGGTGGCACTGATGAGGCTCTCTGGCCTGCTGAACCTCCCCATGCCTATGCCTGTGTCCCTGTCTCCTGTCACCTCATCATAAAGGCTCTCTTACAAAGGGGGACGAGGTGACAAGTGTGTGATGAGTGCCACACAGCTCATCTTCTCTCCGACCCACAAGCCTCTGTCCAGGAGCAGAGTCCTGACCCTCAGGGGGGTATGCAAGTCCCTCGGAAGGGATTCCCTGAGTCTCTCCCGGGCTCCAGAGCCTCCCTGCTGTCTTCAGTGGTCTGACCCCACTAACCATGTGCTTGATGGATGGTGCGCCTGTGTCCCCAAAACCAGTGACCCCACCCTGTCCCTCTCAGTGAGTGGGAGCTCTGCGTAGGCGCGTGTTCCAGGGGAAGCCCAGAGAGAGCAGCCTTGGAGCCTCTGAGTGGGGACGGGAACAGATCTGGGCATGGCTGAACAACTTTTAGGAGGCAGGGGTGGGGAGCGGTTGGGGTCTGGGCACCCCAGCCAACAGGTGAAAGTCCCCTCCCGCTGTGGCTGGCACATTTCAGAAGTCCCAAGTATGTGGGTGGGAAACAAAGCCAGTGAGGCTGTGGGTTTTTTTTAAAGATTTGTTAATTTATGCATGCAGAATTAGGGTATAGGCCAGAGGTGCAGGGGCAGTGAGAGGATTCACCAGAGACAGAGTGGGGAGCAGAACAGGCAGATGGATGAAGTACACACTGCTGAGGGGAGCAACGGGCGGGTCAGGAGAGATCTGCTGCACCATGTGGTCACCTCCTGGGCGGGGATCAAACTCATGCTGAAGTGGCTTTAGCTTCTTAGTGCTGTGTTTTAACCTGCTGCGCCACCAGGGAGGGCCCAGCTATGGGTTTTTTACTGAACAGAATTTTGTCTTGTCTTGGGCCAGGCAGTGCCCAGTTTGTTTTTCCCTCCAGCGGCCACACCCAGAGTTCCATGAGGATGGGGCTCTAGGCTTCCAGCCATTCTTTCCTCATCTATGAAGTAGTCTTAGGCACAATAGGATTAAATGAGGCCCAGGCCAGCGTGCACTCCTTGGTGGCCCCTGAGCCCTGCCATGCTGCGGTTACAGTTGTTCCTCCCGTGCCAGAGGTGGGCACAGAGGTGTGGAGTGGTTAGACAGTGTGAGGCCACACATCAGAGCCTGCCCTGCTTCTCAAGCTGGCCACCTCCCCACTCCCTACACAGCTTCTTCAGGGCCAGGATCCATCAGAGGGGGCCTGGTTACCCTAGACCAGAGCTCAGATGAACACGACTGCCTGTTCAAATCCTAATTCTAATGGCTACTTCTCAAGCCAGCTTCCTGTGAGTCAAGCTCTGTACTTTCTGTTCATGAATGTCCCATCTTGTTTAAGAGGATTGGGGTATTCTCCTCAGATTACATCTCTGTCCTCAAGGCCCATGGCTCAGATGTGGGCCCTAAGAACAGCTATGCCTGTCCTGTGCTGGATCTGGGGACACAGGAAGGCTGGGCAGTGTCTTCACCTCAGAGGTTCATGTGGCTGGGTTAGGGCTGAGGTAGCACTGGGACACGCAGCATAGCACTGAGGAGGCCCTAGCCCCTTTATGATACAGAGTGGTCAGAGAGGAGGAAAAGTGCAAGGCAGATTCACAGGGTGGTGTCATCTGAGCAAGGTTTTGCAGGATGAATAGGAGCTTGTTGTGTGGGCATACATGCTGTACATGTACATACAGTGTGTATGTACACCGGACTTAGGTCTAGCATCTTGGGATGCATTCGTGACCTGGAGTGAAGCTCTGAAGCCTTTTGAGGGGACCGCTGTTTCTTGACTACCAACTATGGCCACATGTTTTACAGGCATGACATTACGGTGGGTTAATGACAAATAAAAGTTTTAAGGTGGGCTAATTAATGCTTTCCTCATTTTCCAGACAAGGCACTTGATGCTCAGAGAGTAAGAGTTCCCTTTCTCGGGGGTCTCTGCTTGGTGTGGTCTCACCTGGTGGCTTCTACTTTCTGAGCCAAGCACACAGCTGTGTATGGGAAGTGGGCTGGGTGTGAGTGTTGGGGCCTTGGAGTCCTTATGGCAGGGCAGGGACTGGGGCCTCTTTGCCCATGGGGTGCCTGTCCTTGGGGAGACAGAGAGGCTGGGGGTGGTGGACAGGACCACTTCCCTGGTCTAGAGGCCGGCTGGACCCTGATCTTGCTTGCTGGAAGCGTCTGGTTCACGCTGCTGGTCCCTTCAGACATCTGGAAGTTCTTTCCCACTTGGTGGTCCATTTCTGTAGGGGCTGTGGGACAGACATATGATAGGGGACAGTCATCTACCCCAGCTCAGTGTTGAGTGGGTCAGGCACATCCCAGCTGCACCCCGTTTCCGCAGGACTGGATGGATAGGCCTTCCAATGGAAACGGGGGAGCCTGTGGATCGTGGAAAGTGCTGATGTTCTTGCTAATGTTTCTGTTTTGCGTTTCTTCCCTCGCCTCAGTGTCAGCTGTGGTTTCCTGCTACTTGTCTGGTTAACTTTGTCCTGATTCATCATGCACAAAGTTGTTAGTGGGCCACTTCCAATACCCATCTCTGTCCTCCTGACACTCTCGCCCTCCCTCACCATCCTCTGACCTCCAATAGCCCTGAACTATTCAAAATTCCCAGCTTATGCACCCCGTTTCTCTGCTCTCTTCTTGGCTGTAAGCTAAGCTCCCTTCTGCTACCACTTCGTCCAGGAAGTACCCCCACTGAACAGGCTCTTCAGCCTGGGAACCAGAGTCCTCTGTACTTGCTCCGTCTTAGCACTGGGTCTAGCCCTGCTTGACCTTTGCTGCCTCGGCAGACACGTCCAGGGCTGTGTGCAGAGCAAGAGATTGGTGAGAGGACTTAAGGCACTGTGTGGTGAGGAAGGCTGAGGGTTAACTGCACTTGCTGTGGCTCCTGGGTCAGTCTGAGAACGGCCAGTTGGGTTCAGTCCAGAACTGGACATCCCTCAGTCCAGGAACCCGGCCTGCGTCCTGGGTGGGCGAAGCTGGTGTTCCTGGCAGTGTGGCCCATTTGAGGGTCTTGGAAGGGAGGACTTGACTGAGGGGGCCTACTAGCTAGCCTTGGATGGCTGCAAGACCGGTCCCCTGCTTCCCTGCTCCCGGGGGCCACGTCTGGTTCTTGATTTTGCACTGGGCACAGTTTTTTGTGGCTCCACCTACCACCTCCACCTTCTACCATTTATCCACTTCATTCTTGTTAGGTTTTGGCCACTGCCTCTGTTGAACATCTCGGACTTGTCCTCTCTGCCCCCAGTGGAGACACCTGCCCAGGACTGCCGATGGAGTCTTGGTCTCTGCTCCCTACACCCCCTGCAAAACCCAGCCCCATCTCTGCTCACCATCCCCTCGCTCTCATTTTTCTCTTTCCCTGCTCTGCTACCATTGCCCTCCCCCATCCTGGCCTGCTTATTTTGCCTCCCCACCTCCCAGTCATAGAACACTCTGGGATTCAAGGGAGCAGGAGCTAAGAGGAAATCCGGGAAACCCTTGGGGCTTCCTCTGGTCAGGGCTTCCTCACAGTCCCTGATTCAGCTCCCTCTTTTTCTAGGTCTCCCTCTCTGCCTTTCCCTACCCTGCCCTCCTCTCCATCTCCACCCCACCCCCCACCCCCATACACAACTGAGGAGGAACAGCTGTGACTCACCACAGGGGAGTCCGCCTCCGCCTCAGAGATTAAGAGTAGGCCTTGACTGTGAGCCTGCGTGCATGTATGTGTGTGTACGCACACGTCTGCTGGATGGTGGAGGAGGGAGCAGGTGGCTGAGTGGCTCAGACTGGGAGCTGACTCCCAGTGACGGGAGCAGCCCGACCACCTTCTGTTCCGGCTCTCCATGCCCTCCATTCTGCAAGCTGGGGTGTGGGGGTGGGGATGTGTGGTTACTTCTCACTTCAGGGGCTGCCCTGCTCCTCTCTCTGGTATTCTTTAACCTGGTCCCAGGAAATGGAGTCATGTGGGGAGATGGGGCCATCCCTACCTGCCCTTCATGCCCACTTTCAGCCACCAGGGTGTAGCTCCCAGGGTGTGAGGTGAGCTCAGCATAGAGTGCTGTCTTTGATGCCCCCTCCTCCTGGTTTTGGTTGGTACAGCAAGCCTGCCCCAAGCTCCTCCTGACCTAGGATGAGTCCTGGGTGGAAGGTGGGGGATTTAAGACCCAGAAGGTTCAGCTCTGCTGGTGGGAATCACAGCATGCTCCCATTGCCCTGTGCTGGTGATAGTGGCCATGGGTTCCCCAGGCTGACCGGTGGTATTAGTGACTGGGCATTCTCGGTTTGGCCACTTCCTTAAAATAACACTTGTCCCTTCTCTCTCTGCCTTGCAGGTCCTCCAGAAACTAGGAAAGGCGGATGAGACAAAAGATGAGCAGTTTGAACAGTGTGTCCAGAATTTCAACAAGCAGCTGGTAAGTATGGGTGCTCTTGGCCTTAGGGAGTTTGTAAAAATGGAAATGTGGCTGCCAGGTGGAAAGTGTCAAGAGCTGGATCTGTGGAGTCAGGGAGCTTGGAGGAGGGGATCCATACAGACTGCTGAGATCACGGAAGACTTCCTGGAGGAGGGAGCACTGACACTGTGTATGATCCATGGGAAGGGGGGTGGGAAGACTTAGGGCCTATTAAGTAGGATGGAGTGGGGAATGACAGGGTGAAGGTTGGGTGGGATCAGGCACAGACTTTGGCCAGACTTTGGCTATTAAGGCAAGTGGGAGTAACTGAAGCTTTTGAGGAGAGTGGCATCTGCAGGGTTTCATGCGAGCAGACTGGGTTTGATGTAGGCACCCGCTGATCTCCGTGCCTGGCTGTGTGGCAGGCTGCAGGCTGAGCCATCTGTAGCTTCCTTGCAGACTTCTTCCAACAACCCATAGGCAGCTGGTATTATTGTTCTACTTTTACAGAGCAAGTAATTGGGCCTCAGAGAAGTTGGGTGATTTGTTGGCCATCAAGTGCTATGAGTAGTTTCAGACTCATACTTGTCTGGTTCTAAAGATTGTAAGTGATTCCTTTTTCTTTCTTCTTTTTTTATTTTAGAGATTTATTTATTTATACATACAGAACTGGGGTACAAGTCAGAGGTGTGGGGGGGGGAGGAGGGATGAGAGGATTCAACAGAGACAGAGAGGCGAGCGGAACAGGCAGATAGATTGAAATACACTGCTGAGGGGAGCAGCGGGCGGGTCAGGAGAGGTCTGCCACGCCATGTGGGTTGCCTCTGGGGCCGGGGATCAAACTTATGCTGCAGTGGTGGCGAAAACTTCATAGTGTTGTGCTTTATGTGGCTGTTGCGCCACCAGGGAGGGCCGACTGTCAGTGATTCTAAGGAAACTCTTACTTTATAGGCCAGGCCTGGGCAGCCTGGGGGTAGCAGTTAGAGATGAGAGGGACTTTCTGACTCAAGGACTCTGACTACCCGGACTGTGTTCTCCATGGAACTGTTCCCCCACAGATCTACTAGGTCCAGAATTAGCCACTTCGTTGTTGGCTGTGCATAAGGGCAGTAGAAGGGGAATGTCGCTGGAGATTCTCCCCTCCCTGGGAGGGCAAGTGAGCAGGAAGAAGGGGAACCTAGGCCATGACTCTGTGGCTTCTGAGGCCTGCCACAGTGAGCCACAGATGGGGATGGAGGCCTGAAGAGGCCACAAGGAATGGGGAGTGAGGTCAGGGTTTGAGCTCCACTAGGAAAGGAGTTGGGGGCTCCCTGTGGGGGAACTGGAAAGGCCAGGCCTCTTCCTCCTACTCCCTCTTCATGGCTGAAGCCTTGGAAAGCACTGGAAGCCCCACCAACAAACAGCTCTGTAGAGGGAACAACACTGGGGGTTCCCAGGCAGGGCCCTGGGACTGAGAAATCCTGGGGCCCTGAGAATGGGAGCCTTTGGTAGACGGCCCCAGGGTCAAATCCATCCTCACCTCCAGAGCTGCTCCACTGAGGCGCATGAAAGGACAGAGCTGTGGCTGTGTCTCCCAGGCCAGTAGTGGAAGTGCTTGAAGACCAGGAAGGTGCCACGACATGATTTACTGTCTCTGCTCTGGACAAGCCCCTCTCGAGCCCCTCCCCGTGGGTCTGTTTTCTTAGCTGCAGAATGGATGCTTGGATAAGAAACCTAGTGTCCCAGCAGCCCCTGGGGCATGATCCCCTATTCACGAACCCCTCCCTCAGGTTTTATGTAGCCTGCCCTGAAGGCCTTAGAGGGGTCACCGTTCCTTGACCACCTGCTATGGACCAGGCAACCCATGTCTTTTACAGACTGGAGCCTTGTATCCTGAGGAGCGTAGTCTCTATTTTACAGATGGAGTCTCTGAGGTTCAGCAAGGCTGAACTCGGCCAAGGCTGCACTGCTGATGTGGGGTGGCTTGTGGGTTTTTATCCAGGTTTGTCACTCTGAGGTTTCCTCTGGAGCTAAGCTCTGCTCCTGGGGTAACTGACTAGACTGGGGAGAGCTGCAGTCCTCAGGTTGGCATGCGTGGCTGACCCCAGAGCCAACTGGGCTATTTGGTAGAAGGCGAGGAAAGGGTTGATCTGGAGTGGAGGCTTTTGGGGACCTGGCCCCAGAGCCACAGCCAGAGCATTCCCTCCCGCCCCACCCCTCATTTGTCCCTCAGAGTCACCCTCTCCGGGGCCTTGGCTCTGGGCAAAGAGTCACTCGCTGGTCTGGGGCTAAAGATAGCTAGTCCTGGCGACGGCCCAGTGGACATGGAGATCGCATGAGCCTGGGCCCCTGGCCACCCACAGGTTGGGTGGGGTAGCTGGCATTTTAGGGGCCAAGGGTAGGAGCAGGAGTTGGCCTATCTGAGGACTCATTTGAGGGGGTGCGGGTAAACTTCCCTCTTGGGGGTTAAGGCAGTTATGGATTTGACTGTGGCCTAAGTGTGTAGGGGTCAGGGTTTAGAAGGCTGTGAGAATCACTGTTTTATGAGGGAGGGAGTAAATCAGGGAGCTGCAATGGGCCTGGCCTCACTGGCCAGCCGGTAGGGCATGGGGACCCTAGGAAAGGCAGAATGAAGGCTGGACTTGGGGAGGCCGGAAAGCTAAGGGTTCTTCCATGTTGTGAACATTAAGCACAGAGGCCTAGCACTGATCAGGGAGAAGGAGGGCAGGGAATTTGTTGTTCAAGGAAGGGAATTTCCTACCCCTTCCTGACCCTAGGACAGAGTGAAAGTCCCCTGCTGTCACCTCCACCTGGTGTGTGTGGTCCCTACAGTCCTGCTAGACTCTAGTCACTGTGCCCTGCCCTGTGTCTCTGCACTGAGACACCCCAGGCCACCTGCAAACCTAGGCAGGCTTTGGGGTCCTCCTGGTGGGCTGAGTGCCCTCCTCAGGCTGCCTCTTGTCCCTGAGGCCCACCCAATGGGCTTCCTATTGAGAAAAGAGCCTCTGGGTCTGACTGCAGAGGGGCGATAGTGGGGTTCACACCAGAGGGGCTGTCTCTGGGGGAGGCGGGGGCTGGGTGTTTTTGCTATTAGCAGAGTGATGTCAGAGGAGGCAGGGACATGACACCCTGTGGAAGGGGACACAGTGGGGACATGGGGCACTGGCTGAGTCACCCCGTGAGCTGCACTAGGTGTCTGTCTGCTATCAGCTGGCTGTGGCCCTTCCAGATTCCTGAGCCTGGAGCCTGGAGAGCAAGCTGAGGGGGCCATGGCTCCAGGCCTTATCTTTTGCCTGCTGCTCCGTAAGGAGTGTATTAGAGCCCCAGGAAGCCCCAGAGTTGTCTCTCAGATGTCCTGTTTGGGGGCCAAGGGAGCCCATTTGGAATGGAACACACATATGCTGTGTTGGCTGGCCCGCAGCTGCCCTGCATGAGGCCCAGGTGGGGGAGGGCTGTGTCAAACCCTGGGGCCCATGGGGGAGCTCGGGCCTAGGCCCAGCTGCAGCTGCACCCGGGAGGCAGAGCCCTGGGCAGCCCCTGGCACGCCTGAGCCCAGCACGTCTGCTCACAGCGTGGCCTTGTTAGGCAGCACAAGGGGCCCTGGTACAGCCTGAAGCTGGGCAGGCGGCCTACCAGGGAGGCCCTTTCCTAGGAGGTTAGGATGGACAGGCGCTGATGGAGGTGGGGAGGGGAGTGAGCTGGGGAAGCTTGGCAGGAGAGAAGCTGTATCTGGAAGGGTCAGTGACATCAGATGAATACAATAGCATCGCATCACATCACTGTTTTATCTTTATCTCTCCCAACAAAGCATTTCTTTGTTCATGCTAGGGAGGGGTATCAAGAGTGGTGTGACCCTTCCTCATTTCCAAGGCCACAGAATCCAAGTTTGACTCCCTGACAGAATTCCAAAGATGTTTGAATGCTGTGGTTGGCCTTTAGTCTTTGATCTTGAATCAGCATGTCTCAGACTTCATAGCTCATATGAATAATAATATGTGGCCGGGACTGTATACTCTACTCCACAGAGGGTATTTTCCCCTCTTCAGCCTTTTTACAATTGTGCAGTATTTTATTTGTTGCCTACCATCCTCCTGGCCCATGTCTGTCGCATGAAAGCTGTCACGGTAACAAATAGGCAGAATTGCGTGTGTTTCTGGGACTCCCCAGTGACCCATTCATCCAACTGGGGCGGGAGCCCTAGACCTTGCGGACTCTCACCAGCTCTCCCCCTCTCTGTGACACTGGGGAAGACACTGAACCACCTGTTTGTCAGGTGGGGGTGGGGGTGTCGAGAAGGCATGCACCGGAAATGCTGGCCCCAGCCCGAAGTGCTGGGAGGACATCAGGGGAGGGCAGGTCTGGGCTCCCAGCAGGGAGGGTTGGAGTAGAGAGCAGGAGAGGTTGGAGGATGCTGGGAATGAGCCTGGAAGTAAGGGCACGTCACTGCTTGTGCTGGCAGGGGTGAGCACCCCCTTCTGCAGGAACTCCAGGCAGACCAGGCTGGTGTTCTGCAGGGGCACCTGGTCTCTGAGTCTGTGACTGGCTGCGGAGCCCAGGTCTGCACACCTCCACAAGGACAGGGAGCGTCCAGGAGGCCAGCCTCTTGCACTGCTGCCCATGGCCTTTGGAAAACCTGCTCTTCTGCCCTTCTCTGCTCCGCTCATGGTCTTCAGCATCACTGGTCTCCAGAGGCCAGGCTGCGAGGCTCCAGGCCCAGCCTGGCTTGCTGAGCGCCGTGCTGTGCTGGGAACTGTGTGGGCCCCCCATGTACTTTTGCTAGTAGTTTGCTAGGGGTGGGTCATTCAGATGACAGATGAGGAGAATGAGGCTCAGAGAGGTTCAGGAACTGTGGCTAGTAAGGGGTGAAGTTGGGTCTAAGTGGCTCTAAAGCCTGCCCTTGTTTCTCCCTCTTTTCAAGTGGCTTCTGGGAACGTTAGCAGTTCACTGTTCCCAGATGTCACCTGCTGGCCTCAGCCTGTTCACCCTTCCATCTGCTCAGTTTTCCTGCCCCTGTTCCTGTGGCATTGAGGAGATGCAGGTATCTCCACCTTCCGCTAGTCCCCTTTCCAGCATGGGGGGCCTTCCATATCTGGCTTCTTCCTCCCTACATCAGTCTTCTCCTAATCCTTCTTCTCAGCTGGGCCTGTGTCCTGAGAGTCCTGCCGTGACCTGGGTGTCCTGAGCTTCCCCACACCCACTGCGCCTTCCCTCGCAGGGGTGTCTCCCAGCAGGTTAGACTGAGTGTCCTCCCTCAGGACCCTCTGTACCCTGCTAGAGGCTTGCTCCGGGCCTTTCCTGGCAGCAGAGTGGCTGGTCTCATGTACCAACTAAGCTTTTGGAACAAGGTGCTGGGTGTCACTGCCATCCCCAGCTGGTGTTGGTCCTGTCCAGAGCAGAGGGGTCTCTCTCTTCATGTCATCCTTACAGGGCTGGGACTAGCTTGGAGGACACAGGGGCTGGCAAGCACAGGCTGGGTGTCCCTCTAGGCATAGGGCTGCAGAGGCCAGGGTGAGGCTGAGAACACAGTTTATGCCACAGGTGTCTAGCCAGAGAGGAGCCAAGTTCCAGGTGGGCCCAGGAGCGCTCACACGGCGTCACTGGTCTCGGTGCTCTCCATGTGGGCCTGCAGGAAGGACAGGGTCGGGATGGGCTGCCTGCTGACCCTCATTGTGTCCTGCCTTTCTCTTGCAGACTGAGGGCACGAGGCTGCAGAAGGATCTCCGGACCTACCTGGCCTCTGTCAAGGGTAAGGGGCAGGCAGGGCTTCCTGGGGTCAAGTGAGGGCCTTCCTCATGTGGAGTGATGAAGCTGGGGAGGGAGAGGCCACAGCATCAATGAGGAGAGGCAACGATTCAGTGGTGACCCACACACCTCCTGGGCCTTTGGGGGTCAGGGGACAAACATGTTCAACAACCCCCGACTCCCCCAGTACCCCATGGCTCTGGCTGCAGTGTGTCCCTTCTGTCTGCAGCCATGCATGAGGCCTCCAAGAAACTGAACGAGTGTCTGCAAGAGGTATACGAGCCTGACTGGCCGGGCAGGGATGAAGCCAACAAGATCGCAGAGGTGAGCATGGCCAGGTGGCCTGGCCCATCGTGCCTGTCCTGGCCTCTGGAACAAGCCTTTCTGACTTTCCTCTTCAGTGTGCCCACTTCACTGCGCCTACTCTGAGGGTCACGGTTCTCTTCTGACACACCCTATCCCTCATACAGAGAAGAGGAAAGGAACTTGGGCTGGTCCTCACCTCCGACTCTCGCATCACTCAGGAACCTACCCTCTTAAGACCCCACCTGCCATGGGCTGACCTTGACCCTCACAGTCAAGTGGGAGAGGCAATAGCTTCGGAATTTGTACCCCCATTTTACAGATGAGGAAACTGATTCTAAGAAGCTGCTGAGCCACTAAGTGATAGGGGTGGGGTGGAACCCCCCAGGTCCACCAGGGAGGCGAGAGCTGGGGTTGGGGTGGCCCAACTCCCTGGCGACACACTCACATACTCTTACCTCCTGCAGAACAATGACCTGCTCTGGCTGGATTACCACCAGAAGCTGGTGGACCAGGCGCTGCTGACCATGGACACATACCTGGGCCAGTTCCCAGACATCAAGGTGAGATGTGCTCTTTTCCAGCCGCCCTGCTCTGGCCTGGCAGCCTGTGAGGGGATGCTGGAGAGGAGTGGGGTGCACAGACACCACTGTGACTGCCCTGAAGGCTGGCCCCCCTCCCCTGGCATCTCCTCTCCTGAACCAACACTGCTCTGTGCCTTTCTGAGCTGGGTGCTTTGAACTCTGTACCTTGGGTCTCCAGGCTGTAGACAAAGACCCCATGGTGTGCGGGGGTGCCTACGTCACTGCATGTGGAGTGCCCGCACATTCGAATCAGGTATATAAGAGGATGTGCGTGCCCAAAGGTGCCTGGTATTCATCTGTGTACCTGGAATTGTGTGCTTAACTCTGATCTAGGTGTATTTGTTTATGTGTGTTCAAAAACCAGTTGCAATGGAGTGAGGGGAATTGGGTGCTCAGGTAATTGGAAGCAGAGGTGACCAGGTGGTGAGTGTCATGCTAGACCTGATCTCTGGGTTATGCTACGTGCTGGCTGCTGGGCTACTGTCCAGTTTCCAGGCTGTGTAGAAGGCGGGCTGATCCTGGTGGCCCTGGAGAGAGAGGCCCAGGGTCCAGGAGCCGTCTTCAAGGAGCTGAGGGCCGGGCCAGGGAAGCAACCAGCTTGGCCCGTGGCCACTGACAAATGGCTTGTATAGCAAGGAAGTGGTCTGACCTCTGGAAAAAAAGGGCACAGGGCCTGGGAGACGTGAGCTCCGCCACCAGGAGGTCCGAGCAACACTGTCCAGAGCATGCGTTCCAAGGACCTGTTGAGCCTGGGAGCTGGGTGCTGGTCCATCCAGCGCTCCTCCTACAGCCCAGCGTCTCTGGGCCCAGCTGGGGGTGCCAGGCCCTGTTCAGCACCCTGTCCTGTATCTGTCCCCCAGTCGCGCATTGCCAAGAGAGGACGGAAGCTGGTGGACTATGACAGTGCACGGCACCACTTTGAGTCCCTCCAAACTGCCAAAAAGAAGGATGAAGCCAAAATTGCCAAGGTAAGGGCTGGGGGGGCTGGGAGGGAAGGTGTCAGGGAGATGGGCAGGGAGCGGTGGGTGCTTACAGCCACCAGGAAGACGTCCTCCTGCGCTGTACTCACCAGCCCCTCTCCCTCCTGGGTTCTCCCTGCTTCCCTGTCGGGGCTTGGCTCTTAATAGCAGGTTCCAACCTGGGGCTAGCTCAGCTCCCTGAGCTGGGGGGGGAGGGGTAGGGGTGGGTGAGTGAAAGGGCCCCGTGAGTGGCCGGTGAAGGCCCACTTCCTCCTACCTATGGTGCCTGCCCTGGCCCTGGGCCCCTCTGCGCCACTCTGAAGCCACTTTCCAGAAAGAAAACAGGCCTGGCTTGGGTTTCCCTGGAAGGGCCCCGCCCGCCTGGCACACATTGAGTGGAATTCCGTCACGGGATCCTGGTTCATATGTGACCCTGACTCTGCTGGAACAAGTCTGGGGGTTGGTGAGAGGAGGGGGTGTGTACCGGCCATGTTTCTGCATATGGCGGAGGCCGAGGGTGGGTGTCCCTCCCCACCTCACCCGGACAGGACTCTGCTTGCGAGCCCCTCAACCCCTGCTAATGATTCTCACATTTTGCTTTGCAGTTGGAGTTCACCCCTTTCTGCCCGTGCTTGGGGTTTCGTTTCCCTTATTCTCTCAACCTCAAGGCACCTTTATCGGCTGTGGGGGGCTGGCTTCCTGGAGGGGCGGCCAGCTTGTCTGTCACTGCGTTTGGGATGTCTGCACTTGGTGTTTAATATCTGTGTCTCTGTTTCTCTCTCCCCGTCTCCCTCCTGTCTCTCCACTCTCCTTTGCCTTGACCTCCCCCACCCCCCAGCCTGTCTCGCTGCTTGAGAAAGCCGCCCCCCAGTGGTGCCAAGGCAAACTGCAGGCTCATCTCGTAGCTCAAACTAACCTGCTCCGAAATCAGGTGACACTGGCTTCTAACCTTGCACGTGCTGGCGCCTTCTGGTCTGTCATCCTGTCTGCCCAGCTGCCCTGCACTGCCCTGGGCTGGAGAGGGCGGGGGAGGGTTGGGCCCCTTTCCTGGGTCTGGCTATTTTCAAATGCTCCTACTTCAGAGGAGACCTGAGGTCAAATGCTGGAGGTGATGAGACTGGGGCTCTGGCTCACGAGGGTGGGTCCTGATCTTGTTGTGGAGACAAGGGGGAGCCATTTTCCCCTCTGCCTCTCCTGTGAGGAATGTGAGGTCCCTAGGTTACTGACCTGAGGGTGGTGGAGAAAAGGGGGTGTGTGCTGGCCATGTCCTGCAAATGGTGGAGACCTGAGCCTTCTGACATGTGTGAGCTTACTGAGGAGACAAACCTGTGCAGAGGCAGGCTGTCCTGCCTGGGCTTCCCCAGCCTGTGTGTGGCTGAGCTGGGCTCACTCCGCAGGCTCAAGCCTTGCCTCGTTATCCTAATTCCCCTGCCCAGGGCTCCAGATAGTTGGGAAGTCCCTGTCATGGTTGTCAGACTCTTGGTGACCCTTGGGACCTATGGGCCCCCTGGTCCCCCCAGAGATGCTGGTGGGCTCTTTAGTCTGGCTGGTTTGCTGAGAAGTTAGGCTTAGAGGCTTGACTTTTTAGGAATTTCATGGAGAGCAAACAGTCTGGTCCACAGTGGTTCCAGAGGGCTTGCTGGAGGAGATTCTTTGTATAAAACCCAAACATTCCTGCTGCCCTGGCAAAATTTGACTCTTCTCAGTCCCTGCTCCTGGGATGGGTGGGATCCTGGGCCAGGGTGGTTAGGAGCCACTGGGTACAGAGGACTTGGAGAGGTGGCCTCGTGGGTTTCTGTCCAGTGCAAATGATGTGACTCCAGCACCCCTTCATAGTTCCGGGGAGGGGGCTGGCTAGAGACCTGACCTAGGAGGTTGGGTTTCTCTCTGGGCAGCTGCCCCATTTTCCTGGGCTGCCTCCTGATTTCATCATCTTCAATACACATGTATCAAATGCCTGTGATGTGGAGAATGCTGGGCTCTGCACTGGCCTGGGGCCCAACTTCTTACCTGACCTGCTGCCTGATTTCTTTCAGGCCAAAGCTGTGGGCTGACTTTGGAAGCACTGAGCTGTTGACAGCTTCACCCTGAAGTTGGGGTGACCATGGTCTCGGGGAGATGGCCTGGGGAGCCTTGGGAGGTAGAGAAGGAGCTAGGGGGCTGGAATGGACTGTCCTGGAACAGAGTTCAGGTTTTCAACTACAGAGGGCATGGAGCCAGTGATGGGGCTTCTGCATGCTATTCTTGAAACGGGCTTGGCAGAAGGGGTGAACATTTTAGTGGGGCCTGTGGCTGCTTTTGGTCTCCTGGGAGAGTGTGGCTGGGGATCCTGCTGGAAAGACTCCAGACCTCCACTCTGGGGGCACGGCAGGGGAGGCTGAGGTATCGCATCCTCTCTGTGGATGTTAGGCAGAAGTCTTTTGCCTTTGGCCGAATCGGCTTTCCCACTTGGATCTAATGTTTATTTGAACACATCCTCCTTCTGCCCCTCCCCTGCCTCATGCCTGCCTCCTGGGGGGCGGCCAGATGCCTTCGGGGTTCCCATGAGCAGCTGGCTAGCTGTGAGCTGCCACCTGGGGCTGGCCCACTAGCTGGTTTGGCCTTGCAGACTTGTGAGACCACTCTCACTCAAACCTATTCTCTTTAAGTGTCCCTGAGCTGCTCCTCACCCTTGCCACGGTTTCCCCCCTCCCTGCAGGGCCGTAGGGGGCTGCTGTGGGCTGAGCAGACTGGCTCTGTCTGCTCTCTGTGGCCATCAGCATACAGTGGAGACTCGAGCCCTGTAGTCACCTTTACAATGCTCCTCTCTCCCCACCACCACGTGGTTCTGAGGGCCAGAATCATGAGGATGGGACCCGCAGGGTAAAAGGACCCAGGCCCTCACTCCCAGGAGTCCTACAATGGAGTCACCTGCCCGGAGCAGCACTCCTGGGAAGGTGAACGGGGCTTGGCACACAGCCTAGCTGCCGAGCTGTGTGTGCTTCGCTTGGGGAGTTGACACCAGCATTACGGCTGCGGCTGAGTCCTCATTGAGAGGCGGCTTTTGTGGGTACAAGCTGGCGTGCTCAGGGTGGGTTCCCGGGGGGCGTGGGACTCGAGGCAGCCTGTGGATGGTGGTGGGCAGGGGACTGTGTAACAGCGCAAGGTGCTTAGCTAGCCTGGTTGGCGTCACTCATTTTGGGCTTTGTGCACTGCCCGTCATAATTTCTGGGCTGCCCAGAGAGGTAAGGCAGGATGGCCAGCCTTGGTCTGGATGTACGCCGTGTCTGTTCATTCCCAGAGTGGCCAAGCTCCAATGTCTAGAGATATTACTTGGTCGTCGTCCCCCCCCCCCCCCCAATTCTCCCTTTAACTCCACCCATGCCTTCCCAGAGGGTGTTTAGATGAAATTTAAAAGTTATGCAAAAGAGCTCTCAGTAAGTTCCAACAATTTGATTGTAGCCTCTGTCCCCTCCTGTCCTGCCCCAGACTCCCAGGCCGGCCTGGGACTTGAAGGGGAGAGGGGCCAAAGGGCCGATCCTGCCCTGAAGCTGGAAGGGACGGCTGGGTAGACTCTGGAGGCATCACATGCTGTGTGGCAATTTCGGGGTTCCAGCCAGTCGGCTGGCTGCCTTCGCCAGAGGCCTGAGAATGTGAGGCTGCTGGTGGGAAGCTTTCTCCTGGGCAGGGCCTGCTACGTTCCTGGGCTGTGACTCAGACTGAATCCCATCGCCCTCTGAGTCACCGTTTCCAGCAGTGCCCTCCCAAATGAGCCAGCAAAGCCCCTTCTCCGCGGGGGGCGATGAGTCACGGCCACCCTGCGCCCGCGCTCCGCCTTCAGGGGGCGCTGCTGCTTTCTTCCACTCCAGCTCTGCAGTGGGGCGTTGGCGCCACCGCCTGGTGGGTGTGAGCTGGGAGCGCCTGTCGCCCTGGGAAGGAGGAGATGGAAGACCCGGAGGGGCCTCAGCAGGGCTCCACCTGTCCAGGCCCTGCCCCCTCTGCTCCCCTGACTTTCCCTGCAGGGCTGCAGCCTCTGGCCTCTGATGGCGGCAGGTCACAGGAGCGAGAGGAGTCAGGAGGGGGGCAGGAAAAGACTCGTGGGGGGCAAAATGCAGGCTGTGGCTGAGGTTCAGTTAGAGCTGTCCTGAGCAGGGAGGAAGAACAGCAGGACTAGAAAGCAGGGCAGCAGGCCAGTGCTTCATGAAAATGGATCGGGTTCCCAACTGGCTAGCTCTGGGGTCCCAGCCCCCACCTCGGGTTGTTCCCTACTCACCCCTTGCCCACTGCAGGGCCAGAGAGGGGCCCTATCTTTTTTGGCTGTGGCTCTGTCCTGCTCTTCCTGAGCCATCCCGTGGGCCTGGCTGCAGGGGCCCAGAGGCCTCATGGGGATGCCCACCTAGGATGTCCGCCATGTCCAGTTCAGCCCCGTCGTGCCCAGAGCCCTGGGTCCAGGGCATTTGTGGAGCTTGGTGGGGGCAGGCCTTGGGGGTGGGCCCGGCCTGGCCAGGGCTGGCTGGGACAGAGGCCCGGCAGAGGGGAATGACGGGTCCTGCTCCTCAGGCCGAGGAAGAGCTCATCAAAGCCCAGAAGGTCTTTGAGGAGATGAATGTGGATCTGCAGGAGGAGCTCCCGTCCCTGTGGAACAGGTGAGGGCCAGGAGGAGGCGGGGCTGAGTCCCGGTGTGCACCTGCGGTGCCCTGGGCCCTCTCTGACGAGGGTCGAGGTGTGCCAGCATGTGTGGCTTCCCTGGGCTGGCCTCCGTGCTCACGCGTCCCTCTTCCTCCCTCTCACAGTCGTGTAGGCTTCTATGTCAACACATTTCAAAGCATCGCGGGTCTGGAGGAGAACTTCCACAAGGAGATGAGTAAGGTAGGTCCTGCTGACCAGTGGCCCTAGGCCTCTGGGGCCAAGGGCCAGGGTCAGAGGCACAGCGTGGGTGGTCAAGCTCCCTTGTCCCTGCTGGGGTTCAGCACATACCAGTGATGATGGTAACACCCCTTCTGGACCTTGTGAGGAGTCAGCCGGCCCCTGTCCTCAAGGAACTCTGCATCCAGTGTGTTTGGGCTGCTGTTGGCGCCTGGGGAGGCTGTGAGGGGGCCTACAAGTCCAGCCTAGCCTCTCCTTTCAGTATTACTCTGCTGACCTGAACACAGCCAGCACCCCTCAAATTGGACAGGGTTCTTAGGCAGCCTTGGCCAAGGGAGCACTGTCAGGAAATGGTGGTTTCCAAGTTATAGGCAAGCGATAAATAAACTGCTAGAATTATCTCGATTTTGGGTTTTTCTTTCAGTGTTTTGAAACATTGAAGCAGTTCTGCTGTATCTGAAAATTTTAAAAGTTATGCAAAAGGACTCTTCGTAAAGTTCCAATAATGAGATTGTAGTCAGGACAAAGTGATGCAAAGTAGATTTCAAGCACGCCCAGGGCACGAAGAGGGAAAGCCAGCTGGGAGCCTCTCCTGAGTGACCAACCTGAGTGTAGTCGCTGCCTTTAGGTCTTCTCCTTCCTTCCTATTTTTCCTTCTGTTCAATGACTTGAGATAACTTATAAAACATTTATAAAACAAGCAGGTATTTTGAGGAATAAAACAAAGTGGGAGGACAATTCCACCTGAGCTTCCTAGTGGCCGAAGCAAAGAGGAAAGTATTTTCCATATATGCATGGGATAAATCTCTCTCCTGTCTATTCTTTTGGTGAAATCTGTGTCAGTTATAAGGCACCTTGACAAATGACTTTAATGATTAGAGCCAGCAATCAGTTTGCAAAAGCAATTAAAAAAATAATGTTACCTTTATATGGCGTTTTAGAAAATCTCTACAAGTTGAAAGAAGATAGTCCTCAAAAGAGTAACTGTTGTTAGCCAAGTGACACTCTTCCTCTGTTTTTGCAGGTTGGGTGTGCTGGGAGTGAAGAGCTTCCTCATTTTGGGGCAGGGGTACAGGAGAGGGCCTGGGGCAGGGGGATAAGCAGGGAAGTTATTAGGAGAGACTGAGCTTCCTTCCTGGCCTCAGAAGTCCTCACCTCTTTGCTGTCCCTCCTGCAGCTCAACCAGAACCTCAATGACGTGCTGGTCAGCTTGGAGAAGCAGCACGGAAGCAACACCTTCACGGTCAAGGCCCAGCCCAGGTGTGTGTCGCCCACTGCCCTCCCAAGGGCGGTTTGGGGGGGGGGGCTGTCTGGGGAAAGTTCCTGGTGCTCATTGGCTCATACAGGGCTGTGCCAAGGCTCACTGCTGTGGTCCTCCTTGGGTTTGGCCTCTGCCTTGGCCTGCCTAAACTCTGGGAGCAGGGGAGGGTACCCCAACCCTTTCAGCGTGTTCCATTGAGGAAAGAGCTCTCCCTGGGCAGTCTGTGGGTCACCTGAGTTTGGTATTGCTCGTCATCTGTGGAGCAGGAGCATTATGGTCCCTTTACAGCTTGCTCCTGTGAAAACCCATCCCTGGATGGCAGCCTTGTGCACCCTGAGAGGCAACTGTGTTCCTCAGTCCTGTACCTCAGGGCTCCTCCCCCCCACCCCTCACCTAGGAGACCCCTGTTTCCTAGGGGATAATCTGGAGGGAGAAGGGGAAAGACCTGTTCCTTCAGCTATGGCTCGCAGGGAACAATTTCAAGTCTGGGGTCTCCCTGCTTTCTGGCCATGTGCGTGCATTACAGGATGGGGTGGGGAATGCTGTGAACCTGGCCTGTAAAATAAGTGATTGTATTTGCTTCCTGGGGTAACTGAGGTATTACCTAGGGCTACCAAGGCAGGTAATGTTACAGGGGAGAGAGGGGCACCATTGAACCCCCAAACTTCCACCCAATTACAGTAATGAATGGTTTGCTTTCTACCTAAACATAAAATGTATGTGACTGACCAAGGGAGCTCACAGGATGCCCTGGGGGTTGGGAGGGGGAAGGGATAGAATAAATACCAGAAAATGATCTCCTGAGGGGAGGGATGGCCTGTAGGTAACTGAATGCCCAGGAGGGGTGTGAAGAGTGGTGAGCATGGTGAGCCCAGTTTCCCGTGGGTAGGGACTGGTCTTGGGCTGAAGCAGGGGAGTGGCGGCCTCCGTTGTATTACAGTGGCCCATTTTGTGGTCTGCTTGCTTCCTCTCCCAGGGCCCCATATAGGCCAAATGACCCCCACTCCTTGCTTGTGGGCCCCAGAGATTCTGTGGGCTGGGGCACGCACGTCCTGTTTCTAGGCAGCTCCTCTTCTGCTGATTTTCTCAGCCCCAGCACCCTGAAGGTGATGGGGGATCAGGGTGGCTCTGTCCCTTTGCCTCCTCTCATCAGAGGGGTTGTGGCTGAGGGAAGAGAATGGGCAAAAGCCTCCACATCCCGTCCATCCTCACAGAAAGAAAACTAAACTGTTCTCCCGGCTGCGCAGAAAGAAGACCAGGTACCAGCGGTGTGTGCTGCGTGCTTGGGCCCCAGGGTCAGCGCCCTGGCCTGCCCGTGCATGCGCCCAGCGCCCAGCTCCCGGGCGCCACTAACCCCTAACCTGCCTTCCAGAGTGTGGTGCCGCCTGGGCGGGGCCACTGGTGGACAGGGCCGCGGGGTGGCTGGGGTGGTGTGTGTGTGTGTGTGTGTGTGTGTGTGTGTTGGGGGGCAAGGACTACTGGGGTGGGCAGATAGCCAGTGCTCAGGTTAGCATAGTCCTCTGTGCACTGTCTCGTGCCCACTGCGTGTCCATGGGGGAAGGGTCTCTGTGCACGAGGCTGCTGCTTTAGAGTCGTGCATTGAAGGAGACACCTGTTTCATAAAGCTCAGATCCAAGAAAGATGATGTCCTGTGATATATCTCATGTTCTCCCAAAGGCCCCGGGGGACGTGGCTCTACTGAGTTCAATGCCGTAGCTGCTCAATTCCAAATGTGGCCACTGTGACTGAGGAGCTTGCTCTTGCACTTTATTTATTTAGTTTTTTAAAGGTCATTTACTTGTTTATCTATCTATCTATCTGTCTGTCATCCATCCATTCATTCATTCATTTATGTGTATAACAACTTGGGTATAGGCCAGAGGTGCAGGGGGTGAGGATTCACCAGAGACAGAGTGGGAGCAGAGCAAGCAGCTCGAGGAAGAACAGTGCTTAGGGGAGCAGCGGTGGGTCAGAAGAGGCCTGCTGTGCCATGTGGATCATTCCCTGGTGAGGGATTAAATTCCTGTGGCAGTGGCTGGTGGTAGCTTGATAGCGCTGAGACTTTAACCCCTGTGCCACCAGGGGTTAAATGGCTTTGACCAGCCCTGTTCTAGCCCAACTCTTTATGTAAGTACATATATTTTCAATGCAAGGACCTGTCTTCTGTCTTTTTTGCACCCAAGTGACAGATTCTGTGCATCCTTTGCCATTGCCGCTTCTCCCTCTGGGAAGCCACTGCCTGTGCTCATCAGCCTGCTGTGGCCTCTGCTGGCTCTGAGGGAAATCTGGGAGCAAAGGTCTTGTCTGTGCATATGGCAGGGATGTGGGCCCTTGAGCGGCCTGCTGTTAGCCTTCTGGTGTGAATGGGTGACAGGCAGCGAGCTCAGCCAGTGAGGCCTTTGGGGCCTGTGTCCAGACCCTCCTGCTGTGTGACACTGGGGTGAGACTCATTTTGCTCTAGGATGTTTGGCTTCTTCGTGCTGTGAGTCTGGCTCCTCCCAAGCCATGGTGTGAGCGAGTGGCACAGGCCTGCTGGGGACCTGGGGGCTGCATCTCTCCAGCAGGAGTGCTGTCCTGCGCCCATGAGCGCTTC